TAACTGTCTGGCCTTTAATGAAACCAGCTATGGCTTCTGCATGATAATGGGTGAAGCATTTGCAGAAGGGAAAACTCCACTACTGTGGAGGGGAGAGGAGACATGAAAACCTTCAAAGTTATGAGTTACCGGCATGTGGTTGCTGACAAACTCAAATGGCACAAATGTCAGAGGCCACATGAAAAAGTGTTAAGAAATGACACTGACTATTATTGATTGGGGCTCCCATGGAAAGTTTCTAACTAATTGCTCAGAGGAGTCAAATATCACCTCATGTGATTATATAAGTAGTTGCGAGTGGCAAAAGACCTCTGATGGCATTGCCACTACCAGGTCAGAGCTGATGACCTGGCATGAAGGGGGCCTTGCGCCTCCCCGCTCCAGGTTGCTGAAACCTGTGACAGGACCTGAACAGTGGGACCTGTGGAAATTACCGCTTGCCACAGAGCCTTTAACAGGCTACACAGGAAGCTTTACTGGCACCAGTCGGTCTGGATATACTTATACATTTCACAAGAATGAGACTCGATACATAGTCTCGTGTGTAAAGCTGCCTGATGTGCTTGCTGTGGCAAACATCATAAATGAAACTGCTCTCAGTGCCACTTGCCATAATTGTAAATTGTTCATTTGCATTAATCATGCTCTGCTTATACACCTTTCAAAAGATAGCATCCTCATTCTAAAAAGCAGGATGGGGGTGTGGATTCCGGTGGAGATGAAGCGCAGATGGGAAAGCAGTCCTGAATTGTCCTTCCTGATACAAATGATGTCGACCTCGCCAATTCGTGGGAATGTTAATCGCAGGTATAATTGGACTCATAGCCATTGCCACCACTGCTGCCGTCGCTGGGGGAGCACTACAAGAGTCCATCAAAACTGAACATTTTGTGCAAAAGTGGCAAATGGGCTCACATCAGCTCTGGGCCACTCAAACAAAGGTGGACGATGAACTTGGGGGGAAAGTGGCAGAGCTGCAACAAACTGTTCAATGGTTGGGAGATCAAATTATGGACTTGCAACATCAATTAATGCTAAAGTGTGATTGGAATTTTACTGACTTTTGTATTAACCCTTATCCTTATAATAAGACATTGCATGATTGGGATTTGATTAAGAAACATTTGCAAGGGTTTATGGGAAACATTTCATTAGATGTTGATCAGCTTAAAATGGATATTTTCTATACATTCAAAGACAGGCTGGAGGCATCTCCTGGCTCTGATATAATTAAGCAATTGGTGGATGGCATGGAAGGATTGGACCCTCGTGCTTGGGTTCAAAGTATTTCTCATAGCCTGGGTTGCAGCCTATCGGTGCTACTCATAATCACGATTTTTGTCCTGGCTATCACGTGTTGCTTCTATAGAAAGCTAAGGCGTGTGAAGGAGAATCATACAGCCTCTATGGCACTTTTGAAGTTCGCGCATAAGGCAAATACCATGAGGAGCAGAGAACAGGAAGAGAACGTTCAAGGACGAATCCTTCATTTTCTCGCAAAGGAGCCTGGGAGGCTAGGTTTCTAGTGGTGGAGGGGGACCTCCACCCTTGTGAGTTATAGGTGAGTCCTAATCACATTCTCATGATATTGTTCCTTACTTTACCCTCCTATATGGTGCTGATTCTGAGGTTGTCTCTTACAAGCACATAGCTGGTTGCTGTGTGGCCGGCAGCTTTAACTATAGAAGCAGGCATTCCTATTTGGCTCTATTTCTTCCCACCGCGGTATCCAATCTCTCATACCTTCCTCCAATAGAAGATGGGCATTAGGGGACTTTAACCCCAGTGCCTGGATTCAAAATGTTTTGCTATAAACCTGAATTTTTGGCTATATGAATTGGATCATAAAGTTTTGTCTTGACAGCCTTTAATGTATAGAAAATAACCATGTCACCCATGTGGCTTTTGAATTTTATATATAAAACAAAATGGGGACTTGTGGGGGAAGGTCAGATGCACAGGCATTCCCACCCCCCTGAGGGCAATCAGTTGCCAAACTGCAGTGGGCTCTGCTCCCTGCTGCTGGGGACAATGGACAGGCTCCTATAGGCGGAGTTTACACCCTACTGATAATGGTTCCTATGGAGACCCAGGGAACAGGTAAAGGTTGATCTGCCATCCTGAATCTGGCATCCACCCATCTTGTCACATGTATACCCCAGTCCCTCCTCTTCCTGTTGCATGTATGTCCCTGGACCACCCCATTACTGTGTAACCTATAGTGTAACCCCTTCCTGTGACATATGTCTTTACCTGTAGTTGGTGGGCGTGCATGCCCCCAAAAGGTATATAGGCCTGGATCAGCAATATAGATCTCTCTCTGGCTCCCCTCTCTTCCCCCTCTCCTCTCCCATCCTCTCTCCCTCAACGTGGACCACCACGCGGGGCTCTGGTGAGCAATGCTACTATGTAATGTGTCTAACTGCATTATTGTATCGCATGCTCTCAATGACTTTAATATAATACTTTTATATCTCAACCGTACAATTGTGCTTACTGAACCCGTGGGTAGTAGCAGCAGGTGGGGCTGGCCCCCTATCCTCCCCTTAACTTAATACCACAAAATAGCAGGCTAAAAATAAAATCTTCCCTGGTTCAGCATAACAAGTTAGGAGCCAAAGGAATGCTTAGGGTTATAAAGATGGATTCAGCCATTCCTATATTCAACTAGAAAAAGTTCCAAAGAGGCAGTGGGTATATTTTGGATAAAATCAGCAGAGACTAAGTCAGCATTTAAAAAACAAACAAGGGGGGGAGAAAGGGGGAACCAATCACAATGATTGACATGTAACACCCCACCCCAAGACAAATGGAAAAGTGGATGAAGGGAGACAGTGCTCGGTGTAAGACATGAAAAAATGTTTTTTATACATTACCAAAGGGAGGGTGAGAGGGGAGGGAGGGAAAAAATGAGGAGCTGATACCAAGGGCTCAAGTAGAAAAAAAATTTTTTGAAAATGATGATGGCAACATGTGTACAAAAGTGCTTGACACAATGGCTGGATGGGTGGATTGTGATAAGAACTGTAAGAGCCCCCAATAAAATGATTTGGAAAAAAAAAAAAGATAAATCTCAGGACCATCAAGAGATCTCTGAAGTGGCAAAGGTCACGGCTGAGGCCAGAGGCATCAGAGGCTGTGGCAAGGTGGCTGTTAGACAGCAGAGGAACAGTGCTGAGACATGAGACTGTGGGGCAGAGCAATGGGCAGGGACCACGTGGCTGAGAGACCAGGACCAGGGAGAGACTTGGCAGCTGTGACCAATGACTGTGTCCTTACTGTTTACTGATGCTGACTTGTGGTAACTTGTTAATTTCCTTCATAAACCCCATGACTATAATAAATAAAACAACAATAACCAAAAAACCAAGGATACAAAAATGGAAAGAGTTCAACGATGTGTTTCTACCTTTAAAAAAAAAAAGCTCACATTTCAGAAAAATCATAATGAAGCCTTTGAAAATCAAAGAGAAATTGCAAATCCCAAAAGATTAAGAAAGGCTAACGACCCACCAAACTGGCTGCCATCATAGCGACCCTATAGGACAGAGTAGAACTGCCCCTGTGGGTTTTAGACACTGTACCTCTCTACCAGAGTAGAAAACCTTCTCTTTCTCCCATGGAGCGGCTGGTGGTTTCAAACGGCTGACCTTGTCATGAGCAGCCCAACACATAATCACTACACCACTAGGGATCCTTAAAATACCCACAGAGGGATGAAGATCCAACTGACGTAAGACGGATCATCGGCAACATACAATGTAGCGGCAACTACAGCATTTCTCTTGAGTTCTACAAGTCATTTGGGCAACGCACTACACCCAAGGGCTAGTGGGATCCCCTGAGGTTATACCCGGTGTGTCACCAGTCAGGGAGTTGGAGCTGGTGTCTCACAGGAAAGCAGTGTGGGTGGACTGGTGGCATAGTATGGCGAAGGGCTCGGCTGCAGACTGAATAAACCAGCAGTCCCACAGGATTACAGTCTGGGAAACCCTATGGGGTAGCAACCCAACAACAACCACGTTCTGGTGTGTAGGTTAGTCTGTTGTAGGGGAGTGTCTTTGATCTGTGGCATCTGACCCAGCACCCACAGTTAGCAGAACTGCACGTGGTGTCAGAAGGCATTTGAAGTCCAAATGGGTATGGGCACAGAGCTGGAGTCACGCTGGACAAGCCACCGCCCCCTTCCCCACGCCAACTCTGCTTGGCTTCCTGGCACCATCCTGGCAATGTGTCCTTCTCCCCGGGCAGATGTCTGCTCTGCGCCTACTGACGAATCTCTTGGCAATCTCAGACCTGACCCACGGCAACCTTTTCATGTACCTTCTGTGAGCGCAGGTCCCACCAGCTCTGCACAAGCCACGTGTCAACGGCCTCTTGCTGGCCAGCAGACAGTGAAGGCTGGGGTTCACAGGAGATGTGCGTTTGTCATGGGAGAGGGTCTGTGGCTTTGCCAGCTTTGGGGGGGTGGGGGCAGGGAGCAACCCATTGACCTTGAGTGGATCACAAACCACTGCAGTAGATAGTGGTGCACCTCGCCATGCTAAGTGGGCAATAATCCAGCTCTCGCAATTATACCTCCTATTCCTTTATTTGGCAAGTATCGATTGAGTACATTCTATATCCAGCTGCTGCTCTAGGCACTGGGTACATGGCAGCGAGCCCAGCAGATAACAGCCCTGCCCTCTTGGAGCTGACATGCCAGGGCCAGAGAGCCTGCTGCTGCGGGGGCATTAGCAAGGCCTGATTGGAGGCTCGCAGTAAAGGAAGCATTTGAGGGTGAGGCCATGGAGCCATCCTAGAGCTGTTCCAAAGCAAACCCCTACCTCAAGCCCAGAGGAAGGGGCAGTGCCTGTCAGGCAGCAGCATGAGGAGGCAGCACAAGGAAGCTAAGCTGTCCCCAATCCGCACCACCTGAAGCATAGGCCTAGTCCTCACCTGCCCTTGCAGCTGGGAACCAGAGCTAGGCCAGGTAAGGCTTCCAGTAGACATGTCCCTGCTCAAAAGAGCTATTGTAACACTTTGGGCATGAAGGGTGCTTGTGTGTGGGGTGGGGGTGGGGGCCTCATCTTGGGGACACAGCCCCAGTCAGCCCCCAGCCTGCCGCCTCCGGTCCAGAGCCAGCTGGAAGGCTTGCCTCAGGGTCTCCTTGTTGTTCAGAACGTTGTATCGACTCAGGGCCACCAGCCGAGCAAACTGTCCAGGCTCATAGGTAAAATTCGTCATGCCATAGGGGGTGTCCGGCCCGTTGAGAACAAAGTCCCCAAAGGCCCTCTCCTCTTCGGTTTGCCGCTCCACACCTGTGAGTGGGCAGGAAAGGGAGAACCGGTGGGGCGCACGTGTGGGGTCTGGGGAACCAGCACCCTGGTTGGGCACACATCTAAGCTCTCATGGCCATCAGCAGGAGACGGCACCCCCGTGTGGACACTGAGGTCCAGGAGCAAAGCAGTGGTCTGCTGGCCTCTCTCAGAAGTAGGCTATTAGGCCCTCTCTGTAACAGCACCCCCCATCACTGGGGCCTCCCCTTACCTGGGGCTAGGTGTGTGCGGAAACTCTGGTTGACAAGGGGGAAGTGCAGCACAATGGGTGAGCGGGGGTCCTCTGCCTGGGCGAACACATAGCACTCTCGGGGTTGCTCTAAGTCCTCAGGGCGCAACTCAATCCTGGGGAAGGGGATCCCGCGGTCCCAGCAGTACTGCTCTGTCACCTGTAAGATCTGAAGGGAGGGTGGGGGAGTTCTGGTCCTTCCCTGCCTGGGCCCTTGGTGCAGGAGGAGACTCACACAGGGGCGGGTGTCATGGGCGGCTCTTTGTACTACCTTCAGGCAAGAGACACAAGCTTTCCAAATGTCTATTTGTGCAAAAGAAAAATGGGCAGAACGCAGGCAGGGGTGGGGGAGTGGGGGGCAGGTATCCACATCATCATCCATCTGTCACTCCCATGCCCTTCCTTCTCTGACTCCTCCCTCCACCCTTTGGGGAGTGCTTTCAGTCCCCCAGGCCGACTGAATGTTGCTGGCTGTCAGCATTGGAAGCCCCTCTACCCATCACCCAATCCCCGCCCAGGCTGAGGGGGCCACAGAGAGGGGCTGGTCCAGCACCAGACACCCACCACCCTGCAGATGCTCAGAGCTTGAGCTAGCCGCTGCTGTGTTCTTCCTGAGGGGACCCTGCCTCCTCTGTAACTAAAGGGCACGGCAGACCCAGGGGAGGGGACTGGGGGGTGGGGGCGGGACTGGGAGTCCTGCAGTGGGTGAGCCTCTTCTTTAGTCTGCCCCCTCCAGCCCACCCCCCACCATTCTCCTCCATCTGGGAGAGACTCTTACTCCTGGCAGCATTCACCCTGCTTTCCGGCCGGGGAGAGGGGGCGGGGGGAGCACACAAAAGAGGGTGACACCCCCCACCCCCCCTGTCAGTCAGCCAGGCCAATCCCAGAGACTGTGCTCTTCCTTGTCCACTCAGCTCAGCCGCCCCCTCCACCCCAACCCCTCACCTTAAAGGGCTCTTCCAGGGAGTAGTCGAAGGACAGGATGAGGTCCACGGCCCGCTGGGGCAGCAGAGCCAGTGGGAAGGGGGAGTTGATGGAAAGGCCCCCGTCCACCAGGTGCAGGCAGCCCCTCATGGGCGTGAGCTTGTTGGGGAAGGCATCCGGGTGGGAGTCTGCAAGGGGCACAGGTGGATGGACAGGGGCACAGGGCTTGTTTTCTGACAACAGCCTGCTGCTGGGCCCAGCCTGAGTGCCCTCTGTTCGTGTGCCCCATGCCCCTTCTCTGACAGCCACGGGGTCTCCCAGCCAGCCCCTCAACCCTGCCCTCCAGCACAGGTTTCAGGGCAGCCCCGGACCCCACAGCCCAAGAGGTGAGAAGGACAGACACCCCCACACACACACCCCTGCCACCACCTACATGCCCAAGCCAGCACTTGCCTTTCCAGGTCAAAAATTCCCTGGCGGCCACATAGTCCTTGTGCAGGCAGAGGCCCCGGGTGAAGTTAAAGTTCTCCGCAGAGGTAAGGCGGGAGGTAAAGATGGCCAGGACAGCCTGGAGGAAGGGCCCCTGCGGGGTGAAGAGCTTCGTGGGCAGCCTCAAGGGGTCTTGCAGTGGCAGAGGCTGGCAGTCATCTAGGGCCAGGGTGGCACGAGTTACAGAGCCAGCATGGTGGCCTCATAGCCCCCGGGATCCCTCGCCTCCTGCACACCCCAGCTCTGCCTCCCTAGCCAGCCTCCCAGGTGCCTGGCCTGAGGGATGCACAGATGAACACGGGCTGTCTCTTCGTACCTTGGCCAGGACCTCCCTGGGGGGGGGGACCGGGGCCAGCCCTTACCCTTGATGTCCACGCTGGCCCTGTGTGAGTCCACCAGGAAGCTGAGGCTCAAGCCTATTGTCTTCTGTGAGATCTCGTTCAGGCTGGCTGCAAAGGCGCTGCCCCACATCCCTAGGGAGACAGGCAGGACCCAGGTCTCATGGCTGCACCCAGTGTCAGGCTTGATCCTGTCAGGTGCTCTGGATCCAATAGTGTCCCCCCCGGCCCCCCCAAAGGCTGTTGATGCTTTTCAGGTGCTGACAAGTCGTTTGTGACCCATGGTGACCCCGTGTACAACAGACGGGGACACTGCCCGCTGCTGCATTGTCCTCTCAGCGGTTCTCCTGTTGGGCCCATGGTGGCAGCCACTGGGTCAGTCCATCATTTGCAGGGCGCCCTCCTTCTCGCTGCCCCTCTGCCTTACCCAGCATGGCAGCCTTTTCCAGGATCTTTCTCTCCTGACGCCACGTCCAGAGAAAGTGAGAGGAAGTCTCACCCTTCTGGCCTCTCAGGACCAGTGTGGCTGCACTTCTTCCAAGACGGAGCTGTTGGCCCTTCCCATGCTCCTCAGCAGCATCTCAGTCCCCGTGCAAAGGTCTGTCTTCGGGGCCCCTCACCGGATGCCCGGCTGTCACAGGCACCCCAGAGCAGGCAGGGACTCAAAAAGTTGGTCCAGTAGGGGGCTCTTAAATCTGCACCTCTCCACCTCTGTCCTCCCATCTGGGGATGGGCTGTCTTCCTTAATAATAAGACGGGACGACTGTAGGGTAAATTTGGGGCCAATCTCTATGGAGATTCACCGAGCTGGCTGAGAGTGGAGGGGACAGACCTCATGCTGCAGGAAGATCCCCATGGAGCCAACCGATCAGGACCAGAGTTGACAGAGAGAAGCCTCCCCCTGGAGCTGGCTCCCTGACCTTGGACTTCCAGCCTCCTAAACTGTGAGGGAACAACGTTCTAGCTGGGGTATTTCTGTGAAGGCGGCACTAGGAGAGGAAGAGAGCTGCCCCCCTGTCCCAGACTCACCCTGCAGGTAGCAGATCCGGGGCTCGGGATGGAGCTGCATCAGATGGCCCATGAAGAACTCGGAACCAAAGAGCTCGGTGGGGACATAAGCTCCATACTTGGGGAGGCCGACCTCATAGGGGGTGAACTCACACCACTCTAGGGGTCCGGAGTGAAGGGGGCATCAGAGGAAGCCCCCACACCAGGACCCCACACACGCCCTGGCATAGGGTCTGAGCAGCAATCAGTGCCTTGCCCAAAGCAGGAGCAGTGCCCAGTGCCTATACCCAGCCAGCTCCCATTGCACCCTGATCGCCCTGGCCTCTTACCCCTTCCTACAGACCATTTCCTCCCACTCCTCCCTCGGTCCTTCCTTCACAGCCCACGTACCTGAAAAGCCCTCCGCACTGATGTTGGTGTGGACATTGATGCTGGCATAAATGGGGTAAGGGTTCTGACCCCGGCTGACCGCCTCCTGCTGATCAGACAGCTTGGCCGGGTTCTCCTGGGCAGAAAAGAAGGTGGTCGTTTAGCCACTAGGAGGAGTCCCTTTCCTCACCCAGCACTCTACCCAGGTAGGGTGTGAGGTGCCCATAAGATAGCAGTTCTCAACCTGTGGGTTGCAACCCCTTTGGGGGTCAAATGACCCTTTGACAGGGGTCGCCCGATTCAAAACAGTAGCAAAATTACAGTTATGAAGTAGCGATGAAAATAATTTTATACTTGGGGGGGTCACCACAACATGAGGAACCATATGAAAGGGTCGTGGCTTGAGGAAGGTTGAGAACCATAGCCCTAAGAGAGCTTTTGGGTCACTAAGGCTATTGTCCACGAGAGCTCACTGAAGGAGGATGACCAGGCCGTGGGCTGCAACAGAGGCAAGGCAGACTACTATGGGCTTGGGGCGTAACCTCCCAGGGAGATTATGGGAGCTGCTTTATTCATTCCATTTTACTTTTATTTTTTGCCATTCAAGAAAGCATGCTGTTATATTTTTAAAACAGTAAGAAAACAACCACAAGAAAGTCGGAATGCAAAAGTGTTGTTAGCTGTCCCTCCCCCCAGAAGAATTTACTTCAGAGGACAGCACTGAAGCTGCAGCTCAGGGAGAGGGACATGTCTGATCAGAGCACATGGGAGCAAATGAA